AGTACCCCCCCCCCCCCCCCTATACGATGTCCTGAGTAGACGTTTCACACAAAATTTAGCGGGCCATACGGGGAGCGAGCGCTACAAACTTCGGGGTGTGCACGTTGTGCTACCTAAGCCCTAATCGGGAGTGTTGATGCCGCACGTGTCGACCAATCATGACGGTTGAATGTTCTTCTATGTGCTGTCCATACTGATAGCTGCCAAGTGCGTGCGTCGGTAAATATTGGCTATGGAGTTGTCTTTCGATCAACTGCACCGTTTACTTAATTCCTGAAAGTGTCTACAGAGCCTCCGTTGCGGAAAATTACCCCGGGGTCATCATTTTGGCTCTTGCCTAAGAACCCCGCCTCGGGGCCTACCGTATACAGTATTTCCTTAGCAGCCCCCTTTTTAACAGCTCATCATGTTTGTGAGCTCTGACAGCGTCTCAGCAAGTCAAGTTAGAACGCTCAGCTTCATGGGGCTTCGACACATACATCTTGATGCTTGCTGTGAGTACCAAACGTACAACCGCATGTGCTTTTTTCTGGTATGCGCTTTCGCTTGAACAAAGAAAGATAGGGGACGGATCCATGCATAAAAGGAACAGAAGTCCCTCCTCCTGTTGGCGGCACACTTTCTCGCCCATCCCGCTGTAGTGAATAGCCAACATCGAGCATAGATTTTTCTCTCGGTCGTCGGCTTTCGACTCCTTGTCCATGGCCACGAATAGAAAAGCAATATTAAATGAATGATGCCGCAGGTTATTATACTCCCTTCGTGCATAGCCACTCTTACTCGCCGCACATACAGGAGTTATTACACCACCAAATAATGTTTCTCCAGCGAGCTCCCACGGAATTTCAACAGTCGTTCTGCCCACGCCTACCACAAGTAAAACGTGAATATTCCATGTTACTCACATGTCGAAGACTTAACTCTCCAAAAAATATGCTTCAATTCGAGAAGTCTTGTGCTTCAATCGGAGTTCACATCGCGTTGAACCTATTTCCCTATTTCGGGCTACGCCGTGTGAGGTCACATTCTTTGAACCGATGAACGCACTTGAAACTGTTCTTTTAGAGCGAACGGGTCAACAACCCCCCCTGCTTCGCCCCTTGAAATCGCGTTTCTCTCTCTATGTAGGAAAACCATACCGACTGTTACGCAATAACCGAGTCGCACAAGATTGTCCGTTTTCGTCCTCCGAGATTTGCCTTTCGTTCCTGGTGTCATGTCCAACCCTTGAGCCCATGAGATGAGATGCGAAGTTCTAGAAACTAACCCCCATAGCCCACATATTGCCCATGCTTTTCTCCGATTCCAGGAAGGCTTTATGGTCGACGGATGCATGCCATGCGACGGAGAGGGATCTTGCAACTCCTGCATCACCAAAATCAAGAAAATGTGCGACCAAAACCCGTGTGAACCCGAATGCCAGGCCTATGTTTGCTGCTCAGTGCAGTGGGGCGAGTACTCCGGCTGCGAAGAAACGATGCACCATGAGATGGCTGAAATCGCTGCCAAAATCAGCGACCGCTGCAACCTGCTCTTCACCTGCGACGCGATAAATCCGATTTGCTCGATCAACGCTCGTAGATGCGTGGCAGAACCTACAGGCGTCAGTAAGGACGTGCAGCAAGCGGCTCACGAACGCTGCCGCGAGTTGGCCATCACCGGTGCCGGAATCTTCGATACTGCCTACTCCTCAGCGGAATCTTTCAGCAACGAGATCCTCTTCATGGCCGTCGATGGCCAGCAGTTCGCCCTGCAGTCTGTCGAGATCGATGCGTGCACAGACTTGGACAAACTTCCGTTCATCATCGAGGCGAGCGCGGATATCATCGTCGCTCGCTCCAGCACGGGATATCTAGCGTGGGACGACGGCACTGATCCCCATCCTCACGTTGCGAACACGGGGGTCGGCTGCCCCCGACACGTGTGGATCCTGCAAGACACGACAGGAAACCAAAACCATGTTTTCATCACGGTGGATCTAAGCGAGCACCCCCAGTTCATCTCTTCTGACTGGGTTAAGGTTGACTCGGAGGGGAAGATGAGTCGAGTTGACCTAAACTTGTCTTGCATAAAGAAGAAGAAGAAGACTGTCAGGTTCTAAGCAAGCTACGAGACGGTATAATGGAGCCAGCTCGGTAGAACTACGGAAGATGGAATGACGGGGCAGAAACCTAACACTATACGTGTTGTTGTTTTGTTGTTGTCACCGCAAATAGGTGCGATTTGGTGTTTGTTTTATATATATCCTTTCTATACCCTGTGAGATATTTGCGGGGCAAGACGTGCCCAGAGGTGTAAAATAGCGGGAGTGCCGAGTAAGGATGGGTAGGATACACCGCAGGGTCGCTTGTGTGTTGAGTGTCTGAAACTGAATTGTTGCGTAACCCATTGTGCCCCTGGCCGTGATGGTCCGGTGATGTGCTTGTCTAAGTTTTGAGTATCATTGAACATTCGCGTTCCCCTTGATGTATTCCATTAACCGCGAGGAGTGCTGCTGCGACGTGTTTCCTTCATGGTCTGCGCCATTGGGGGTGCTGTGCCATTGAGTTTACACATTGTATATTTTGTAAACAACAAGAAAATATGGCTTCCTGCGCTGAATTATGCGACGGCTTTGTTTCTAGCCCCACCAACTCAAACGTTGACGCAAGCACAGGTCCCGCTCGTGGGGAACGCTTCGGCAAGAGGTCACGTTCGGAATCCTATTAAAAATCGACAGTGCCATGACCAAGTCAATCTCTCCCAGACCAGGGAGTGACAACAAACAAATACAAAGTAGAAAAAGTAATCTGTGAGAGTGTGAAACCCTCTATGAGCCCTGTCTCCGGTGGGTAGTCCTTTTGAAGGGTATGTAGACTACATAGTGGTTTGAGCGTAAGATCCTTTAACGTAGACTACAGAAAACGATTCCCGAGCGCAATTACCTGCACGTGCGCTTCTCACACCGACAATTTACATGTGACCTGGCCATTCCGCATGCCAAATGCAGTAAAACTCTTGACAAGTAGAAGCAACACGGCTTAGGAGACAGATATCCGTCATTCTCCCCACCATACCATGGTACGTGCAACGGGGCGAGCACATGCTGCTCTCTGATATATCTAGTAATCAGACAAGAGGCTGCCCAAGCTTTTGTTGAGGTCCACAAAAAATCAAAGATTCTATCGCTGCTTCTGCTGAGTGTTGAGTAGATTTTTCTCCGTAGATGATACGGACACGAATCGTGTTCTGTCTCTTCCAGATAAGTGTCCGTCTTTGGGCTATGTAATGTGCATGTACGCTTGTGAGTGCCGGCGGTCTGTATGGTGACGGGTACGGTGAACAGCGAGGCGAATGACCCGCCGTCTTTCCCGGGTCCACCAATCAATCAACGTTGAGTAGACTCACCCCTGTTGCATATGTCTGCACTCGAAGGATGATGGTTTATGACGTGTGCATATTTCCGCTCTCGGAGGGTGATGGCTCATTCCCTGCAATGTCTAGATGATGTGTACGCCATGTACAGTGCGGGCCTGCAGCAGTTACTCTAAGAGACCGATACGGTCTCTAGAGGTCTCACTGGACGGGTGAACAACGAGCGTCGAATGATCACTTTCAGTCGGAAGACCCGAACCGCACGTTCTCGTGCCGAACCCCCGAGGCGCGACAAATCACTCCATCGGCAATCCTTTTGCAAATTTCAGCTTGGTACCTCCTGCCTTAACGTTTGGCTGTGTCGGTGTCGATCGGCCGTCTCAAGCACACAATACGGCGAAAGGCAGGTACAGTAGTAGGTGCTCCCGACACCAAATTGCTCCGATCTCGATCGATATGCGCGAAAAAGTTGCCTAACCGCCATCAAATTGAAGCGTAGTCCAATCAACAACTGGATATCCATCCCGCCATCTTCGACCCTGGAAAGGCTGTGTGCTTACTTACTGAGTCGCCTTCCCCGACGGATGGATGTGGATCTCTTAGAGGACCAGCACGGTTGCCCGAGGCAAACTGCGTTTTCCAATCAAGAAATGTCTCGTCAATCAAGGCAGCTGTCATACGCCCAGGCGCTAAAGAGGGTCGGCTGCCAGAGCGTGGAGGCCACTGTCCGTCAACGGCGCCTGCTCTTTGCGGGGGCCGTGGCAAGACAGCCGGACGGGCGGCTTCCGAAACGGCTGATGTTCGGCGAGTTGGTGGGAGGGGAGGACCCGGGCCGGGGAAACCCGGAGCAGAACTGGCTGACATGCCTGAAGGACGACATGAAGATGTTCGAAGCCAGGTACGGCTCCACGACCGACAAGCCGAGCGTCTTCGGAGTCCCGAAGTTAGTCTGGAGTGAGGCGGCGAAGGTGGAGGGGGGGGTACCGTGGCACGCGGGGGTGCTACAGGGAGCTGAGAGGTTCATGGCCTCTTGGCACAAGGG